TCTCTAGACATTGTTTGTCTTGCCGGGCACATTTTTCTCTCTTTTGAGAGAGGGTGCTTGCATGCCTTGCTCTCCACATGCTTTGGTTTTGCTTTAGCTTATCATCAAACAGATTGTTTTTTGTTATCTTGATTCTTTGCATTTAGGATCTCTGTTGCCTGTGTGGGGGGTGTATGGACTCTGATAATCATATCCTTTTATCCCATGCCAACTTTCCACGCTTTGTCTTCCTCTATTGACTCTCTTGTAGGAATTGTTTTGCCATACACCTCTTTCTGAGGCATTCCACCTAATTCTTGGTAATTTTCATGGGATAACTTCCCCTTTTTTACATTCACGTTAGGGTGATTGCCATCTTCTGCTCTTTCCCTACACACGTGGCTTTTTTCCTTTTGGGATCTTCTGGGGTGGGAAACTGTCTTGTACCAAGTTCGTTTATCAACCACTTCTACTCGGGACTTATGGCCAGCTATTTTTTTTGGGGGGGGGGGGTAGTACTCCTGTGACTTTAGCATCATGTGGGGTATCTGTGGTGTTCCATTCCCATTCAGTTTTTCTTTTTTGGTTGCTCATTTGTCTCATTCTGAGCCATTGTATTCTTCATTCATTCATGTTCCAGGTCTGGTACCTTCCTGTCATTTACCTGTCCTATCTCTAAGGGTTCCTACATTAGTCTTATATTCTCAATGCTTATTGGAGTTCTGTGATTGATATGTACCACCTCAATCACTTCTTAGTTATTTCCTATATTATTTTGTTTATCACACTCTGGTGTGCCATTTCTCCAGGACTAAGGATGCCCAAGATAGACATTTCGTATTCCTATACCCGTATTCCTATTTTTTATCCCTTGTGCTGCTGTCTTAGGTTTGATCACCACAGGGTTGGGTACCAATTTTGTGCCTTACTCTTCAACTTTGTCTTGGATCCATCAGTCTTTTGTTGGGTAGTCAGAGTTTTACTCGACTTCAGCATGATGGGGGTTATACTTACACCTCAACTTGGTCGTTTGGCTCCTGTTAGCTCATTCTGTACTGGAGTTGTCATAACATACTCATCTGCTTTCTACCAATGTAGCTCGGTCTTTCTGATTGCTCCTTTCTGGGCAGCACAGAGCTGGTTTTCTTGGCTGCTTCAGCTCGATCAGGATAGATTTTTCCTAACCTACACTTTGGCGACTTGTGGCATGTTCTTCCTTTTTGACATTTTTGTTTCCTTTCATCTCCCACCCTTATTCCCGGTCAGACATCTCAATGTATGGTGAGAATGTGATTAGGTAAGTTACCTTTTTGTATATATACCTCTTCTTGCCCCTTTTTTTATTTAAGGATCCTTCTGTGTCCTGTACTTGCTCTTGGTTGTTTAATTGCCTTTAAGGCTTCTTTTTGTTGGCTCCCTTTTTCACAGTTTCATTCCCTGGCACTACTTCTTTGTTTGTGACTTTTTTACTTCCTCCTTTACCAATTGAATTCTGTATTAGATTTGATTGTTATTGTTTTTTCCCTTGTCTCCTTCTTCCCATAATTAATTCCTGATATCTTCACTTTGATCAGGCACCTTACATTTTTCCTACATCTCACCCCCTCGTATGTTGAAGATACTTCTTCGATTGAGCACTGTGACTACATCTCGTATGTTTATCTCTAATTATCTGCCTTAAGTAGCCGTTTCTTCCTCATCTGGTTGCCATCCTTCACTCTACGGTGAGAATGTGACTAGGTAAGTTACCTTTTTGTATATATACCTCTTCTTTTTCAGGGGCATGTTCCTTTTTTATTTAAGGATCTTTCTCTGTGCTGAGTGGCTATCCAGGTATACTTAAACTAGTCAAATATGCACTGTAATGCCATGATGACTTCACAGTTATAACTGCCATGGCCACTAAATGAGATGGGGTGTTCCACAAGATTGTTCATAGGTTTTTCTTTGTGATATATCTGCTTCATTAATAGGACCGTTCTGGACTGTACTAACCCGTGGACTTCATGAGTAAAGCAGGAGGGGATAACTGCCCAACCTGCCATTCCTCAGATTGAATAATTTAGGAGTGGTCTCCTTTTAAGAATAGGGTTTTCATGATCACATGTTGTATTGTATCCAGTGTTGATGTTTCTCATGACTCTCACCACATTTCCTCCCTTCCCTCTTTTCTTCCAGTGGAATATGAGAGTCCTTGCTACTTTCCAGTTCCAAGCTGCTGAGGTGGTAGACCATGGAGGTATCCTCCTGAATGTGATAGTGATATCCAATCCAAAAAATGATGAATCCATTCAGCTTAGAGTAGGGCGGTGGTGTTCTGCTGGTGTAGATGATATGTCCTTTAATCTGACATTCCATCTCTGAATCTGTCTATCTGAGGGGATGTTGTAGTTTTGGAGTGAGCCATCAAAATTTCAGTTCATCTCTTCAATTGGGATCCCTCATCCTACCCCCACATGAATGTCAGTTCCCAATGGCTGGGTTTTGGATTCAGAGCTGGACCAGTCCACATAAGTCCTCGAACATGTATTACTGGAGTGTCTGTTCCCTCACTCAGTTAGCCTCATTGCTAATATGTTGTGGGTCATGATGGATGAACATGTGGATTGCTATGGTTCTTCTTCTTGTACTTCCCTTCAAAGATTTACATATACTGGAGATGATACTGCACTGGGAATGGTTCCTGTATGTATGGTTTTGAGTGGGACTTCATACAATACTGGGACATCTTGATGTTGAGTTCCTGGATTGGTAACTTATTATCAATTTGCTCACATGTGCCCTGTTCACGGATGAGTGGGCATGATATCTCCCTCCGGTCTGCTGAACTTGAGGTGAAAATGGTATGATCCTCTTTTCTACCCCTACCTGATGCCTGGGTTTTGGATTGCAGTTGACTTGCTGCCAGTATGATCTTACCCCCACATGGATGCAGTTGACTTGGCATGTACCGTCTGTTGCACCCTAGCCATTCTACATCCTTTTCCCTCTCACTCACATTACTGTCGTCAAAGAGATTGAGATTCCAATATCAGGTGGTTCAGATCCCTAGCCAACTATTGTTTTTTTCTGCACTAGGCATACAGTATAACTGGTACAGATGTGGTGTGGTTTCCCATGTAGGATTCTCTACTGTGAGATCTCCACTTTTCGGGTGCTCTTCGAATGCTTTTGAAGGGTGCTACTTCCTTTCCCTCACACTGGTCCCTCTGATTATTCAGTGTGGGATTCTAGCTGTATTTGTGAGTGGAGGTAAGTTACCATATCGGAAATTATAATTTTCCTAAGCTGAAAATGTATCTTTGGTAGGTACTTACCTCCCCTCACACTTTCCACCTTTCCCTCCTGCTGAAAACTGATGCTTTCATTTTCTGCCAAAACTTGAAGTGCTAGTTCAGTAGAACCGAATAGAGGGAGTCACATGCGTCAAAAAATATGTCACACTCTTATTTGTGGAGGGTTGTTACATGATGATTTGTATGCGAGACACAGTTGAACCATGTTGATTGTGGGGTACGTGGGAGCTCAAGGCTTGTGGCATGCACAAATATTTTTGCATATAGAGAATGAGAATAGTAGTATCTGAGAGAAGAGGTAAGTACCTATCAGAAATACATTTTCAGTACAGAAAAATTACAACATACTAATGGTTATGATGATATGAGTGCACATATGCCTCTTCATTGCAACTTCTGTGATGTTAGTTAGACATGGCTGAAAGATCAATGAAATAAAAATAATAAGTATATATATAGATGTATAATGTTATAAGATTTAAGATATTTAGACTAAACATTTGTGGTTTCTTGTTATATTTTGTAATCATTCTAGAATGGAAAGAGCATAATTTATATCTGTTTTGTAGTTTTTCATGCTGGTTATGAGGTCGGTCAAATCGACCAAACCCACAAAAAAAGATACAATAGTGAAAATAACAAGTAGAATATAAAGTTTTTCTAAAAAAAATGTTTGATAATTATCTGGTGGTTATAAACATTTTGTATGTGAAATTTGACAATTTTCTGATGCATAAAGTATTTTTAATTTAAAAATCAAAATTACTTTGCATATTGGATAGGCAATATTTGAAAAGAAAAAAATTAACAAACAAATCATTACTTAGAACAATCTTAAAACTTAATAAAAGAAAAGTGATATTTTGTGTACTTTACACTAAAGATTATAGGCATGTCATAAAAACTATATATATAGTTCTATTCTAGTTGTCAAAAATCCACTTAAGCATATTCAGTTGCTTTAGAATTTCAGTTCACAAGCAGAACTACCTTCCTCTATTTGTATCTCACAAGTATTCTATGTATAGTTCACTTACTCTGCCTCATTGAAAAACTGCTGTTGTATCCTGAACTTCCAATACTCGTCTGCTTTTTTGTATTTAGGCCTACTTCCAATAATCATCTGCTTTTTATCAAAGTCCACACAGGCAGGTTCAATTGCTTTAGAACACCCTTTGACAAGACAAATTATTTTCCTAAAGTGTAAGAAAACTGTTAATCTCACTTTAACATATCAACCATTAGGCTATCCACTCCTACGATGGTTAACTTTCATTTTCTAACTTTTTCTTTGGCCACACTTCTACTTCCCACTCTCTGGTCTCTCATTTGCTCTGTCTGTCTACTGTTTTCCCTCATCTCACACTATTTATATGTTTATCATTTAATCATCTGCCTACCTTCTAGAAATCTTTATATTCTCGATGTCACAGTATTGCATGCGACATTCAATGGCCTCAACACCAATGAATTATAAACATAACTTCCAACAATCATCTGCTTTTAACTCTCTTATTATAAAAAAGCACATTAAACAGTCATAAAACATTAACTCATAAAATAAATAAATTAATACTACCTACACTAAACAGTCTTTTATATCATGACAAAAGCAGTTTGGACAACCATACTCTGAAGTATTTTCCTCAACTGAAAAATCGTCTTGATGATCTGAAAATTCATAAGGAACCAGAAATACAGAATTTGGAAGTTTTCTCAGAGATTATGACCACTTTTTCATTAAGATTTTCGGATTTTTGGCAACTCGAAGATAAGGTAAAATTTCTGAAATATCCTGATACGGTACTGCCAGAGAACTTGAAGCTTGAGAAGAACATTGGAGAAATGGAACATCAACATTTGGCTGTGTCTATGTCAAATGCAAAAGTTGAGGATGAGGTTACTAATCTTGGAATAGTTTGCCAGTAACTTTTTCTGCTTTGAAAAAAGTTGCTGTGGCAGATTTAATAATTTTTTCATCTACCCACACCTGTGAAAGTTTGTTTTTGACTATAAACTGTGTGAAGTTTGATTTAAGGAATAGACTTATAGATGATAGCAGTACTGTTTACAATACTTTGAAGACCTAATATTAAAAAATTATCCTCAAAGATTCAACAGCAAATTTCACACTAACTTAGAAAGCAGTTGACCAATACGCTATTGTACTAGTAACTAATAATGTAAATTGTAATAGTTAAAATACAATAAAAGATTCTGGCATGCTGGATGTTTTCTGATTTGTTTTAATGCATTTTGGCACTTGGCCCTGAAAAGGTTTGCCATCCCTGGTATACATAATGCAATTAAAAAAAGTACTTAATATGTTTATGAAATTTGGCAAGCTTTTACTAAACTTTACCCGTTTTTTGGACACAAAAAATCAGATTTTTTCACTGTTTCTACCAAATATTTGTCCATGAATGTATATGAAGTTAGAGTGTTGACTGCACTGAGTGTAATTTAGTTTTATTCATCTGAAAATTTTCAAATTTTATATGTATAACCTCTGAAACCTTCTAAATAAATATGACTATTCAGTAAAACTTTATATTTGGTCTCTTACTTTCACTATCATAACTCTATACTGACTCGGCTGATTTGACTGACTTTGTAACCACTATAAAAAAAATACAAAGTAAATCTAAATTACTTTTTTCTTCTTTCTCAAATGACTGCGATTGTAGCAGAAAACTACAATTGTTTATCCTAAATAGCTTAAAGCTAGTGACAGTACTTGTACATCATTTTATACTAAATTTTATTGATTTATTTCCTTTTGAATTGTGTCTAATTAATGATTCTGCCATACAAGTTGCAAATCACTTGGTGAATGCGTAGCTAATATTACCATATTGAATGACATAATGTAACATGAGCTCCTTGTGAGCATATCTCATGCAGATGTTTTATTATTATTATTATCATTTTTTATTATCTTACTTAATCTAGCCTTACCTAACAAATCTCTAATTTTTACATTTTAGTTACTTTTATAACAGTAAATAAAAAATATACGTGAAAACAAAAATATAGTACTTAGTTTGACCTCATTTTTTTGTTTTGGTTGCAGATGGAACTTAATTCTACTTTTTAATAATGATGGTATTAGTATATTAATAATTTTTATATACTTATATAATGCATCTGAGAGCACAGAATGATAACATGCACAAAACCAACAATGTCCTATAACTATAATAATTTAACTGTCTTTCTAAGTAAGACAAGGGGGGCTTAAAATTATTCCCTTACCTGCTCGACTTGCAAACTGTGAGATAAACTATCAACCTGATGATGAAATTGATGTCCCGGCATAGCCAGATGGTTAGGGCACTTGACTCACAATTTGAGGGTTGCAGGCTTGAATCCCCCACCAAACGTGCTTGCCCTTTCAGCCATGGAGTGTTATAATGTGATGGTCAATTCCACTATTTGTTGGTAAAAGAGTAGCCCAAGAGTTGTTGGTGGGTGGTGATGACTAGCTGCCTTCCCTCTAGTCTTGCACTGCTAAATTAGGAACGGCTAGCACAGATAACCATTGTATCACTTTGCATGAAATTCAAAACAAACAAAATTGACAATACTCTGTAGCAAAGACAACATTGCATTAAATTTCATTCAATAGAATAAAACTTTGCCCTTCTGTTTATTTTAAATGATATAAAATGTCAAAGAGAATTATTGACAAATTGTGAAACAGAGTAGGTGACTAGAGGTTGTGGCAAGTGGGTTTGATTTTCTAGTTTATGACTGTAAAAATAAAATTGAGGACTATAAAAATTAGATTTTGCCTAAGTAATATTAATATTGATAATGAATAATTTGTGTTAAATTTTGTACTTCAGAGAAGGGTGCTAAATAAATAAATAAATAAGGGGAGAGACACAGAGAACAAATGTCATGATTCTTATACCTGTGGAGATTGAGAATTTATTTAAATATTTCCTTATAAAATTAAGAATTTAAAACTTGTATTAAAACCCTTGGTTTATAAAGTACATTTTGATGTCAAGTTTATTTGTATACTTTGATAAACTAATTTAATTGAATTTTAAATGTAACTCTCTAAAAGGCTGTGACATGCACACTTTGACCCACTAATAGTGAGAGGGTTAAGGTAAGCCTTGATAAATATTTAAATGATAAGGGCTAGCTTTGAGTTCGTTTTTTTAAATAGCTCAATGGATAAAACAGCATTGATAGACTCCAATTTCTTCTTGTCTATTATCAGTTGGATTGTACTTTCCATGTTGAAAGCTGCTACTTCTATGACTTTAAAATACTTAAGAGTTGCTGATCAAATTTGGTCCATTATATATATATTCTGACATTACCTTTGGCTTTCCAGTTTCAAATTCATTTGAGAAATTCTGAACATTTCTGTTGATCATGTGCTTTTCAAAAAACATTGCCAAACTATCTTGTTTTATTAGTGCATTATGGTCTTCTACTTCTCTTTTCAGGATTTTTATGGTTGTTTAGAAGTCATTATTTCCTTCAGTTTTCAATGAAAGACTTTGTTATTTATGACATTGTTTGTAGCACTGTATTTGAATCTGGTTTGAAATATATGTCAAACTAATATAAATTATTATGTAGACATTTTACACCTTAATTCTTGAACCACATTGATTTGTCTTCTGTTTTTAGGTCACAACTATGAGTTGCCTCACAGAAAGTTGTTGGCCTTTAACATATATGACCCTAATATAAATATGTTTCCTCTTAACTACCATTTGAAACCATTGCATTATTTGTTTAGTTGTTGGGAGTTTCCTGGACTTTTTGTTTTCATTTTGATTACTATTTCTTTCATCATCTTGTGATATCTGTTAATGTTTTGACAAGCTAATGTTTCCAAGATACCTAACTGGTTTGTGATATAGCCATCTTTATCTCCAACTAGATTATTAGGGACTTAATGCATCCAAAATAACATTCTTTGAACCTTAATGCAGTTAAATAATCAAAGCATGACTTGTGTGTTCTGTAAACCATACTTCATTTGTTTAATTCTGATCCCTTCTACCTAACTGAAATTAGAACCCCTTTCCAGTATCATGACTTAGGCCTAACCAAAGTCCACGTTATGCTGTTTCTTTCTTTCTTTATTGCTCAGATTGAGTTGTGACTTATTCTATTCCAGACAGGCCATTGCTCTTTTCCAGTGTGGGTTTTCTATATATATATATATATATATATATGTGCGTTTCTCCAGAGGTATAGTATTGTAAGTAAAGCCAAAAATATTGTGGTCAGCAAGAGTTCCCAAATGATGAATCAGTGCATTCTAATCATTATAAATTTATGTTTTATGACTTTGCATATACCCAGTTACAATGGTGCATTAAATTAGCTATATAAATTACTGGGTAATTTTTTTACTTTTGATATCTCTAGGTAGTTTGCTTTAACCAGAAGTTAATGGATTTGAAATGTGAATATGGTTCTTCTCTCTCTCTCTCTCATTTTTTTTCAACTGCCTGGTTTCAGTAAGAATAAATTAGATGAAACTTTGTAAAATGGATTGCAACTGCCTGTTGTAGAAACACAAGTGTAGAGGATGACGTTTCAAAAGTCTTTCATCTTCAGGTCAATGTGTATAAGGTGTTTTCGATCTTTACAGTATTCTGGTGGATTGTGGAGAATGTGTTATGATTGATTGGTTTATCCCCGTTTCTGATTGGAGGAGAGATTTCATGTAGATTCAACCAATGATAACCAAAGGCTACTCACCTCTAATCTGGAATCTATGTTTAATGAAGGTTTAATTGTGTTAATATAAAATGATTCTTTAATTTTTCTTGTCTTCCAAAATTTGTCTGTGTAGATGATTATAGTTTTTTCCCAGTTTATTGTGTGTCCAGTTGACATGGCATGTTCTGCAATGGCTGAATTTTGTGTTTTCACGAGTCTTGTACTGTCTTTACGTTTTTTTATTCTTGTTGTGATTCTTCTCCCATTTCTCCAATGTATGTTACGTTGCAGGAACATGGAATTTCATAAATGACATTTTTGTATTTCTCATTATTAGCCTGCTGTTTGTTTTTTACCAGAATGGAACTTAATGTCTTGTAGGATTTCCACCAGACTTCTGTGCTGAATTTCTTGGCTATGTGTTTGAGTTTTTCACTGAATTTTTGCAGATAGGGGAGGTAAATGATAGTAGTGGTAGTGTTCTTCTGATCTTTTCTTTCTGATGTGGTCTTCTTCAGGGAGTTCTTGATGAAGGAAGAGGTGTAACCATTCTGTTTAAAATCTTCTACAATCTTATATCTTCATAAAGCAAAAAGCGTTCTCAGTACAAGCTGACAGTTTAGTTCAAGAATATGTACAGTATCGGTGAGAAATTCCATGGAAAGTTGCAATGCCTTATAGGGACAGCAGAAAATATAGGAAGTTTGGAATGAAGAAGTGTGATGCAATACAGAAAGTGAAGTTTAACATATAATTATATGTGTATTTTTAAAATTAAAAAGTTAAACCTTGTGTAATGTTTAAAATGTGACCTATAAATTATGTTTTAATGTCATATCTTTTATATACATTGGTAATAAAGTAGTTTGATTAAACTTTGAATGTAATTGTAAAAGGTCATGACATGTGGACTTTGACTTACCCCTTGCAAGAGAGATAATTTTTATACTATAGTATTATTTTCTATACATGATTATTTGATTTCCTGTGCTGTAATGTTTTTTTCTGATTATTTTATTCCCCTTGCTACAGTAATCTTTATCTGATTATGTAATTTTCCTTACTACAGTATTCATTTTTGTACATGGTTATTTTTCTGTGCTGCAGTACTCTTTTCTTTATATGTTTATTTAATTTCCTTTGCTACAGTATTCTGTCTTCGTTTCCAGTAAATAGCTTATGAACACATGTAGTGGTATGAGATTAAAGGAAAATACCAAGGAACTTTGAAATTTTAAGAAGTTAAAATTTTAATATATATATATATATATTGATAATTTAAATAAATACTGAGAAATGTAGTATATATGTCTTGTTCTGTTCCAAATTTTCAGCAGGAGATCATTGAATTAAAAAATTCAAATCAATATAAAACATTTTGAAAACTCATTATGCATAAAATGATTGAAAACTAGCTTATTCTTACTGTGTGAATTTTCTTTTCACTTTCAGATTCATCATAGATATGAGGTGTCTTTTGTGTTCCATAGCTGGGAGACAGCCGGATTACTGGCTGTAAGGAATCAGAATCCTCCGAACTTAAACTTAAGGGTCACTGACCTCTGTCCTGTAGAAGGAGAACATGAAGGACCAGGTTAGTTGAATAAAAAAAAACTTTTTTTCCTGGGGTAAAGTTCGGTTATATCTACACATTTGTATCATTTAAGTCAGTGGTTCTTAACCTTTTTTGCTCCATGCCCCACCTTAACACCTCAAAAAATTTAATGCCCCCTTAATCTAAAAACAGATTTGGTGTTGAAAAGGTATAATAATGTAAAATTTTTCTTATTGTAGCATTTTCAAAGTTCTCCCAATATATTCGAATTGCCCCCATGTGGGGCATGCAACCCACGTTCAGAATCACTGATTTAAGTGTTCTAAGGCCAGCTAGTTTTCATGCAATTTCCAAAACTTAATGTTTTTTTTTTCTTCTTCTTGTAGAAATTATAATATGAAACATAATTGTTTAGATCACAAAACAGATCTATCTTAACCAGGTTAGAACTGTAATTTCTAGCTGTGGCAACTGTCATTAGCACAGCTAGGTTAATGATAGAGAATTGTAGCATGGTGTTGATGATTCCTGGCCCATTGCTTTAGACTTTACTGTTTTCACAGGCTGTTGAGTAGTTCTGGACTGTGGTCTTGAACAAAATGTTTTCACCAAGTGTGTTTTTTAGAACTTAGAGCTTTTTGTGGCTCTAATTGGAAACACTACGCTTGTACTTCTCAGTTGGGTGGTAAGTCTCTTTTATGTAAAGGGTTTGTTTGATTTTTGGAAATGAGTTAAAAAAAAATCTACGTCGAAACCAATCAGCAGCTGCGGCTTGTTATCTCCTGGTGGAGATTCTACATAATGGCATGTGTACAACACAGAACAATTTCACATGTTGACTACCTTTGTGATGGCTTTGCAATATTTATGATATTTTTCTATAGGTATGTCTTAATTTTAATACTAGAAATAAATAACTTTATAACACCAAATTTGTTATTTATCTTTGATTGGACACTCAATGTTTTGCATTACAGCTTTTTCAGAAGTGTTCACTAAAACACAAACTGTAACTGACAATACAAAGCTTCAAATGGTTTAAATAATAAATTCTAATCGAATCTACAGTGTGCATTTTGACATATTAAGTAGTAGAGCTTACAGAATGATGCCTATAATTTTCATAATTTAATTTTTTCATCTTTTGTTATTTCAACCTGTAACTTTTGTGGACAGTGGGTGGTGTTTACTAGCTGCATTTCTTCTAGCCTTTCACTTCAACATTAGGGATGACTAGTGGGCAGTGGGTGATGTTTACTAGCTGCATTTCCTCTAGCCTTTCACTTCAACATTATGGATGACTAGTGCTGATAGTTCTTTAGTAGCTTTGCACAAAGTTCAACAAGCAAATAAGAAAAGAATTGAAAACACTGTCAAAAAGTTTCCATTTTAAACTCAAAGAAATGATGTGATTAAAATTTAGCATTCATATACTGAAGTAGCAAGTATCATATTTTATATAAATGATATAGACAATAACTAAAATTGATTGAAAAGTGTATTTTTAAAACTATAAGAGGAAAGAAACTTTAGGTGTCCAAAAACTAACCACAGAAACCTACAATTCATAAACTCCAATGCACTTATAAATAAAACCTAAAAACTCAAGAATGCAACATCTATAGTACTATGGGACAGTAGTTTTTAAGTTTAGCCCCCACTACAGGTAGGTCAAAGTGGGCATGTCACAACCTTATAGAGAGTTACATTCTAAAGTTAATTAAATTACTTTATTATCATTGTATATGAATAAACTTTGCATCAAAACTTAGTTAATAACCTGATTTTAATATAAGTTTTAAGTTCTTAATATTTTATAAGGAAATATTTTATAAAATCCTCAATCTCTCCTAGTATGACATATGTTCTTTAGGTCTTCCCTCTTTTCTAATTTAATTACCACCCTTCTGAGAAATATGGGTTTTAATGCAAGTTACTCATTATAATATAGATATTACTAAGGGAAAGCATAATTTTATAGCTTTCAATCATATTTGTCTACAGAGTCATAAACTAGAAAATCAGACCCGCTTACCACGCCCACCTGTCACATCTTCTCTTTCACAAATTGACAGTAGTACTTATGAACGTTTTACACTGTATTATTTATAAATAATAGAAAGCCAATGTTTTAATCTATTAAATTGGATATCACATTCTTTTCAGTACAGAGTATTGTTTATTTCATCTTCTTTTTGAAATTTTCCCTTGCAGTCTCAAGATGGATAAGAAGCTAAGATTTAAAAGATATAAGTTAGAAAGCCAAAAAAAATTATGATAGTTATATGACAGTGTTTGCTTTGTGCATGTTATTATTCTGTGTTATTAGGTACATTATTTAAATAAATAATAATTTAGTAGACTAGTACCATCAGTATAAATAAAAAATAGGCTTAAGTTTCATTGGAAACAAACAGCATAAAAAGAGATCACAGGTAATATGTAACATATTTCTTGTTTTTCATGTATATTCTTTATTTATTATTATAAAAGTAACTAATATGTAAAAATTAGAAACTTGTTAGGTTAGGTAAGATAAAAAACTCTTCATAGGATATGCTAGCAAGCAGCTCCTGCCTTATCTAATTTGATATGGTAATGTGAGTTACACGTTCACTTAGTAATTTACAACTTGTGTGGTGGGATTATTAGTTAGACATGGGTCAAAGGGCAAAAGAACAGTAAATTAAGTATAAACAGATATATATTGTTACAAGAGCTTTAAGCTATCTAGGATAAACAATTGTAGTATCTGGTTAAAATTTGTAATCATTCTAGAAAGAAAAAGTGTAATTTAGATTTATTTCGTACTTTTTATGGTGGTTACAAAGTCAGTCAAATCAACCAAGTGCATAGAGAGTTAGTATAGAGAAAATAACAAATGAAATATAAAGTTTTACTGAAAAAAAAATTTGATATTTATTTAGGAGGTCTTACAGATTACACAAATTCAACTTGACAATTTTTAGATGAAGAAAAGTATCTTTCACCTTACATGAAAATCATTTTGCACCTGGAGCAGTCAATACTCTGACTCCACATATTCACAGACACATGTTTAGTAAAAATACTCAATCTGATTTTGTGTATACAAAAGACTTGTTACGTTTACTGGAAACTTACCAGATTTTGTGAAGATATACAGAACATATTGAATGTTATAGTATGAAAAATTCTGATGACTACTTTTGGGTTATGAACTTGTTCACATTGACTGAACCCATAGTGAGAGGGTTAATGCTAGCATAAGGTCATTCTTGACATCCTTGTTTCAAACTTTCTTACACTTGTTTATTATATTTTCATAATCCACAAACACAAAAGATATTTGATTCTGTTATCCCAATGGCAATTTTTTATTTTTCAATTATGAATTTTTAGGAGGACTTGTCTGCATAAAATTAAGCAACCATTTATTTATTACAGCACTGTTTAATGATATTTATAATGCTTTATTTCATTTTATTAGATACTTCCAATAAGGTAACTTACTTCTTCTCACATTCATAGCTATTTTCATTCAATCTGCCCTCTGTTTGCAAAAATTTTTTGCATGCCACAAGCCTTTTGCTCTCACACTCCTCAATTCACATGCAAATTATTGTGCGAAAAACCTCCACCGATAGTAGTGCCACACACCCACGTGACACATGAATCCCTCTGTGCTATTCTACCTAACTACCACTTCTCGTTTGGCAGTGCTCGTGTTTCAGTGTTTAGTTTGTGTTCTCTTCAAGTGGGTTTTTTTTTCAATATCTTTGTATTAATTTCTCTCAAAAAATTTATTATTTATTATACAATAATAATACTTGTAACTTATTCCAAGGGGGAGTTATTTTATATTTCTACCCAGTTATGGAAATTAATACTTCTTTACGAATGTTTTTTCTACTTTTTTATTTCTACTTTTTATTTCTTTCTGACAACATGGTTGTGTTTGGTTATTCATTTTGTGTTATGAATTCAAAATTCTAAGTTACAATTTTGGGGTTATATCTTCTGTCAGCACATTTCCATGGGTTTCAGGGTGTGGTCCTCGTCTTGGGAATTATCGGCTTTACTTTGTCGGGAGATTGATTGTCCAATGAGCTGACCTTTGTCGGGCTTGGACTCGAGGTCGGGGGCCCACACATTTTGATATATGGTCCACCAGCTTGGAAAAGATAAGTCGTTATACTGTTATGGTTTTTGAATATTTTTATTGCCAATATTATTACTTGTAGTTATTTGGGTTCAGTCACATAAGTTTAGTTAGATTGGTCATACTCATATTCAAGTTCAGGTTTGAAATTAGAGCTTAGTTGTATCCTTTGTCCCATAATATTACATTAAATTTAACATGGGTCTTTGTTATTTGAGGATTACATGTAATTCACCTTACTGATATATTGTAACTTTATTGTTTATTCTTCAAAACATCACATCTCATACATAAGTTATTGTCAATACACACTTACTTAATTTTACAATATAACATCCATTTCATTTTTGTTATTATTTGTCTGTTATACTTCTTCATATTAACTTTGTTTGTGTGGACCCCCTGGAGCTAGGGTACACACAGACTTCTCCCGATACTCTATGTATTATTGTGAGGTTAGGGATTTTAACTTTGAGCTTAGTGAAATACATTTTCCTGCACAATGTGATTAGGCTTAACAATTGTCTGTTATTTTCAATTTACCTCTAGTTCATCTTAGGGGTAAATTGATAATTAGGTTAAAAATCTTGTTTGCTTCTACACATAACATCTTATATATATGATTATTTCACTACTCGCATACTTAAATTTACATTATATTGACTATTTCATTTTCGTAATTCTTTACAATTTATACCTCTTACAATCAATTTAGTTTGTGAGGACCCCTGGATGTCAGGGTCCACCCTACCTTCTGGTGTTGCTATTCTTCCTCCTGCAGCTGCTGAACCTGTTTAGGATGACCTAGAACTTGTCAGTTTTCCTCCACCTGTGGCTATTTAATGTGAAGAACTGAATAGTGGCCAATGACACTTTTTCTTCACTTCACCTATCTAGTGTATAGGTTTTTCTCATAGTGACTACAAAGCACTTTCACACCAACAGTATGTTTGATAGGTAATGACGGTTTAACTAAAGTGCACCGCTTGATTTTAAACAAGTTGGTCAAAGTTTGTTTAAATAAATTACATGGACATTCACTATGTTAAATTTTGATTTTTATTGCAATATTTGATCCTTTTATCAGAGCTGTGGTTGGAAACTAAACATGGACATTCACTGTTAATTTGTATTTTTATTGCACAGTTTCAACCTTTACTGGATCCTTTTTCATTTCACTTGCATGATGAAGACTGATAAAATGGCTGCAACTAACAGTAAAATCAAATACATAACACTAAAAATATCAATGCATGTAATTTATTCAAATATAAGTACCCATATGTCATGAGTCTTAAACAACAAGTTCAAATTTGACAGTTTTTAGTGATCTAAGATTTAATTACTATCAAAAATAAGTATCTCTTGTTTTTATCTTCTCAACATTTCTTTAGTGACAGATGATGTATTAAATTATATCCAATCCAGGATATTTAATTTAATATCAGAGGCTTGATCTTTGGAACTTTTTCAAACAATAATTCTTGATGTATTCTAAATAATAGTCATATTACTCTACTAGAATAGCTTCAATAATAATCACTCAACAGAAGGGGTATAATTGGTGAGTGGTGGCAATTGTCACATGAATCTAAAGAAAGGTACTTCTAACAACTGTGTCCACATCCTTTGATAACTTGAAAATTGGTGGGAGAAAACATCCAAATATCAATGTATTCTTGGCTTGCCTGTAAATGGTCATATGGGCAACCCATATTTTCTGTTGTGCATCCAATAGGGCATTGTTTTTCTTAGTAATGTATGTAGATTTTATTTCTTTTCTGTACTTATTGTGACATTCTGTACTCTTGAACAGTTTGATTACTTTACAAGTTACTTAGGTCTGATCTGTATAGTTAGTGTGATTAATTGATAAGTTACTTAGGTCTGATCTATATAGTTAGTTTGATTACTTTATAAATTACTTAGGTCTGATCTATATAGTTAGTGTGATGACTTTATAAGTTACTTAGGTGTGATCTATATAGTTAGTTTGATTCATTGATAAGTTACTTAGGTCTGATCTATATAGTTAGTTTGATTAATTTATAAATTACTTAGGTCTGATCTATATAGTTAGTTTGATTAATTGATAAGTTACTTAGGTCTGATCTATATAGTTAGTTTGATTAATTTATAAATTACTCAGGTCTGATCCATATTATTAGTTTGATTCATTGATAAGTTACTTAGGTCTGATCTATATAGTTAGTTTGATTCATTTATAAGGTACTTAGGTCTGATCTATATACTTAGTTTGATTCATTTATAAGGTACTTAGGTCTGTATTAGGTTGTCAAGAAAGTAATGTTGCATCTCCCAAAAAATGTACATCATGTATAATAGTTAAACGAACCACCTAAATGTCACGTTAGTGTAGCCTATATAATATGTAAAGTTTAGTATACTCTAATCCCATATAGTGATGTCTCACGACAAGACACACAATTGACATGTAATGCTGTTTGAATACAAGAAGGGAAACAATGCCTCTGTAGCCACAAATAATATGAAAGAAGTTTATGGAAATGTTTTGAACGTTCGTAAGTGTCAACGATGGTTCAGCAAATTTCATTAGGCTACTTTAGCCTTAAAAACTTTGATGGTAGGGGCCAACATGTTGGAATTGATATTGATGCTTTGAAGATGCTAACCGAAGGCAACACTCGT